GTTTCTGAAAAAGGTAGGGAATCCAACTTTCACGTGAAAATTGTTAGAGACAATTTCTTCTTGTCATCCTCAAAAGCATCAAGCATTGCTTTCTTTTTAAATAAAAACAACAATAACAAAAAAAGTTCAATAAATCGTAAGCCAATAACCAAAACACAATAGTTGACCGAACAATCACTGTCAATATCCTTGTAACACCGTGAAAGTTTTATTTTAATTTATTAAAGTCATAGCGATTACTATTAAGATACGTTTCCGTGCCTATAATAATTACTTTTACTTTTTTTAGTACAAAATAAAAGTAAATCGTTTAGCGGTGTTGAATAATCAAAATATGAATCACCGTAAATGACCTAGTAAAAGAGGTTTACCCACATAAATTATTGGCGAAATGACATTTCAACAACATAGTATATGATTTCCAGGAAAATTAAATAAAATAAAAGTATATTATACACTATGCACATCCTATATAACTCATTAATGAACTTCTATATAGTATTCTAAGAATATTCCACACAATAACTATACCTATGCATGCCGAATATACGTAATATATTTCTGGCGTATATTTCAAGAATATCAGATTTTTGGTCAAACGCACTTGGCATGCATATGCATGTCACATATACGAATATCCATAGTACATGCAATGTAGAAACTAAATGATGTCCATATTCGAAAATGAATATTCTATACACCTGATAGGAATATAACGAGGAATATAATTTTGCTATGTGGGTAGTTAATTGATTAAAATGCTTCACATTTGAAGTTAATCAAAGTATGTATTATACTGGATAACATACAAAGGAAGAGAGTAAAATCTGTCACACAAATAAAAATAATTTGTGATGAAAGATTCTTCAACAAAATGTATTTCGGCGAGTCTTAGGCAACCAAAATTAGAGTACAAAAGTGGTCATTAATGTATTGCAAAATTTGAGAATGTGCATGTGAAGATAGAATTAATCATTTTTTTTTTACGTAACTACCGGTGTGTGATTGAATTACATAGATTGGTGCATGTTAGTGATGTTGCAATCCAGTGAGTCACGATTGTAGGTTGATGCCCCAAATAACGGAGAGAAAAAAGATTCATTTTGAAGAATAAGTCTTCAAATATTTAAATGTTGACGCACATCATCTATATGACGAGCAAATATAGAAATGAACCTGTTTTTGTTAATTAAATACCTATTTAATGTATTCCTTCAATGACGAACGTTGCCAAAGAATTTTTGTATTTTTAATGGTTTTGATGCTTTGAAAAAGCACATGTTAATATTTGATGAACTTGTAATATCTGACCTTCTCTCGGAAACTATAACACGTTGTTATTATAGGCCAGTTGGTAATTATAGTAAATAAATGATTAAATTGGTTTTTACACCTACATAGCATTTACTTATACTTGGACAAAATGGTCAGTCAATACAGGCTGTATAGATCATTGAAGGAATAGTGTCCATGTGAATATAAAATAAGAAAGTTTCACATAAAGATTATAGGGAAAAGAAAGAAATGAGAATTATAGGAAGAATCATTCCTTTTTCGTTATAGGCTGTACAAATTCACTCATAACAGTGAGCAGTGAGAACATTCTATTACATTATGATAAACCTCCACAACAAAAAACGTCATGAACCCAAAAAGGAACGGACTTGCGAAGAAGTCAAAGAAACAAAACAGCTTGCTCAGATCAAAAGAATTTGCTCAGGCGTGTGTGCAGGGGCAAATGGGCCTACAATGCGGTTAGAGATTCTGTTTTCATCCGCCAGATATACATGCCTGACAGTTTATCAGAAGATGAATAAACCGGCCCTGAATGTGATTATTTAATTTCAAAACAAAATTTCATATTTCATAGGAGATGTACTTTAGTTGAGTGAACGCTATATTTAATATTTAAAGAAAACATTACATACAAACCTTCAGTTCACATAGTATTCACATAAACTTGACATAACTAGTGCTGATAAAAACATGATCTCAAAGGACCCTACCAAAAGTATACCGAGATTGTATTTATGTCAGAATTGGCTGAATTTTGTATATAATAATACAATATAATAATACAATAAAATACAATCCTGAAAAATTATTCCTTTTTGCAAAAATTAATTTCATAGGTAGCAAGTAAAATGTTTGGACATTGTAATGAACGTACGTACAAATAGGAGGATTATTGCGGAACTTATGGGTGGACCTCTGCGGGACGAGCGCAGCGAGTTCCGCAGCCATCTACTCTAATGAAAATAAATCACAATTGAGTGAATCAGGTTAGTATTGCACTTGAACAACATGGTGAATAAATGACTGGGTCCACCCATAAGTTCCGCAACAATTCACTCTTTCGCACTTGAATAACTTGTCACAATATATTACTAGTTTGGTAAAGTAACATTACTAATTCCTTTTAAAAGGCAAATTGACAAAAAAATTTGACTTTATATAATAAGTTATTGTTCAAGTAGGTACAAATAAGTGAATTGTTGCGCAACTTATGGGTGGACCTCGCTGCGCTCGTCCCGCAGCCATCTAATCAACAATATACTATTGAACTATTCAAGTAAGACATTCACCTGAAACGTGTAATTTTTAAACTAATGAGAATAACGCACATTTGAGTGAGCCAGTTTAGTATTCTAATTAAACAACATATTGATAAATAGATGGCTGCGGAACTCGCTGCGCTCGTGCCGCAGAGGTCCACCCATAAGTGCCGCAACTCCACTCATTTGAACTTGAATAACTTACATTATGTTACTAGTTTGGTGAAGTAACATTACTAATTCCCGTTGAAAGGCAAATTCACAAAAAGTGAATAATCATAATCTTACAAATTTTGACTTTATATAATAAGTTATTGTTCAAGTACAAATAAGTGGATTATTGTGGAACTCATGGGTGGACCTCTGTGGGACGAGCACAGGGAGTTCCGCAGTCATCTACTCACCAATATACTGTTGAACTATTCAAATAAGACACTGACCTGAAACTTGTAGTTTTTGACTTAATGAGAATAACTGACATTTGAGTGAGTCAGGTTAGTATCGTACTTGAACAACGTAGGTATTAATAAATAGATGACTGCGCAGAGGTCCACTCATAAATTCCGCAACAATCCACTCGTTTGTACTTGAATAACTTGTCACATTATGTTACTAGTTTGATAAAGTAACATTACTAATTCGTGTTGAAAGGCAAGTTGACAAAAAGTGGATAATCTTATACAAATTCTGATTTTATATAATAAGTTATTGTTCAAGTACATACAATGTAACACGAATAGGTAAGCTTGTGGCGCAGTGGTGTGCTACGTATAGTAATTTTTCAGGATTGGTGCAATGGTAACTTTTAATCGGAAAGGCGTGATCTACATCACATACAAAATTCAGCCAATTCTCACATAAACACAATTTCCGTATACTTTGGGCAGGGTCCTTTATACAGGGTGTCACGAAAGGTTTGTAAAAATTAGTTTTTTTTTTTGATAAACATATCGTCGTTAATTTCACAAAGTGACGTATCTCAAATCGGGGTTTGTTTGAGATATGTCACTTTGTGAAATTAATGACGATATGTCAGGAAATGCTTCGCTTTCCAGATACAGGGTGTTAAACTTTGTAAAAAAAAATCCAATTTTTTTAATAATTCTTAGAAATGCGTTGGACAAATTAAATGAAATTTTCATAGTTTGTTGACATTTTTATGAGGTATCTTTTGGACTGCCCAGAGTTGACCCAGTAATTCCAGGAACGTGCCACAAGTTCTGTCGGATGGTTTTTTGCACGAAAATATCGCCCAGTAGATTTATTTTCAATAAGGATATGTTTTTTGAATATAACACTCAAAGATACAACTTTTTTGTCTCTTCATTTTTTTCCGTATGCTGCTTAGTTTTCGAGATAAAATTTAAAAACCATTTCAGGCTATCCATACGAACGGCACTGACCTCCATAAATAAAAAATAAATTGCTACAAAATTACCTGAAATTTTACCAGGCTATTTGTTGCTTAAAAATAAACAAAAAACTTTTTTTCTCAAACGCACGCACTTCTGAGAATTAATGTAAAAATTGATTTTTTTTACAAAGTTTTACACCCTGTATATCTGGAAAACGAAGCATTTCCGGACACATGTTTATTAAGAAAAAAAGCTTTATTTTTACGAGATCTACCATCCCTAGAAGTTTGTAACAAACCTTTCATGACACCCTGTACATAATTATAAACTTGACGTTAATGTCACAGATGCGTGAAAAACGTAATTTGGTACAAATGTTATACAGGTAGGGGTAACTAGAACCACCATATTTTTGGTATGGAATAAATGACCCCTTGAGCCCCATGCGCACCAACCTTAAAATTTTTAATGGCACCACCCCTTTTGTGATACCCAAAATAAAATATTTTTGACTGCACAAGATTTTTTTCAAAAAATATTTAATTTTAGGGGTGTTGCCATTTAAAATATTGAGGTGGGGCTCAAAAGGTCATTATGACCAAAATATGGTGGTTCTAGATCCCCTTACCCTTGTATAACATTTGTACCAAATTACGTTTTTCTAACTTTTTCACTTCCAGAGATATTCGTAGGTATTGAAAGTTTTCAAGTTGACACCCTGCATAATATATTACGAAATAAAATAGATATCATGAGTTCTTTTGAAATTAAAATATACATACAGGGTGCTTCAAAAGTAAACTTCGATTGCCTCATTAGCAAATCAATTTAGAAATAATTAAGTATGTATTGGAATGTTTAAGTTCCACATTCTGGTGAAAGGTGATTGTCTGAAGATGGTAGATATTAGATTATTTTGAAACTCTTAAAAATAAATGAACCACGCGTCCTCATAGTTGACCAAATTTAAATTCTGTTTTCCATCATTTGTTTCAATGTTTAGTGCATTGCCACTTTTTTTAAAATTAAAAGGAAAAACAATTTTGAAAATAGGCACATCTTGTTTTTTGAAAACCAATAGTATACATACCTTAGGATTTAATTCCAAAGAGCTCAAAACAAATATTCACAAATTGCACCACGACGACTTTTACAAAGCCTATTACCCACCTACTAACAACGAAATGCGGTAGTAACAAACTGTGAAAGTTCGCGTAGTCGGCTTGTCTTATACTAAAACCACGTTCAGGTGTATGAATTCACTTGTGCCAATCAAAATCCTACTTGAAAGGTTACTTAACCAATCGCCATGTGTTTTGTATGGTCAGCTGATTCGGCTTTCTACCGCGTTTTTGGTGGAGCGCTCGATCTTGAATTGTTGCAACGTTCTTTCATGTAATCATAATTTCAATGACTAATAATCAAAAAATGCGTCCAAGAATTATGTTTAATAGAAATGGTCATTATATAAACACTAAAATAAGTATATGAGACTTCTCGATTAAGAACAAACCAAGTCACTCAGCTAATTACACTGACGTGACGACCAAATAAAAGTTTGGTCGGTGGAATAGGGTAAAGGTGAAACTTATCAATCTATAAGTCTTCCTACTTTGACAGAAGTAAGGAAAGGAGCTCCATAAGGCTCTAGGTAGCAATTGTTCAGAAGTAGGGAATGCAATCCCGCAAGATAATTCCAGTCCCGGTATTTGCGGGACTGGACATTTCCAATCCTGCGGGATCCAGGTATTTGCGGGATCCCGTAGAATCCTGTGTGACTTTGCAAATAAATCATAATATAAGACCAGATTTAAAGGGTTTTGACTAAAATTGAACAAATATCAAGTATCAAATTATTCAATAATATTTTTCAAAGATATTTAAACATTATTATTAGAAGATTAACATAACAAGTTAGAAGATATTTAAATATTATTTTGGAAATAACAGCAAAAACGTCATGTCGTTTTGATTATTTATTTACACAACTTGCATTCTGAAGAATAACAAAATTCACCTTTTCAAGTTATCATTATGTCGGAAATTGTAGCTCTGTTCCAACCGACATGAGAATCGTTCCAGAACCAGTAATTTCCAGTTGCCCACCTATTTTTCAATGAGTTTATCCTACTTGAGAAATAAATTGATCAACCGGAAATTACCGTTCTAGAACGGTTCTCATGTCATCTCATACCTACTTCAAAGAGTAAATTTTGTTTACTTAACCACAATTAAGAATTTGTTGCACTGCGAACTGCGACCCCTACACGTCCTTATTAAAAGTTGGAACAAAAGTGCCAAAATTGAAAAAAATATTAAACAACTTCGAATTAGGGCAAGAAAATTTCTCTCAGACTCCTCACCACAATTTGTCGTCTAATTCGCGCGTACCAGGCCCGAGTAACACTATAGGTACAGTTCATTTCAATCCCGCAAATCCCGGCGGGATCCCGCTCAGTTTATGAGCGAGATCAGTCCCGCATATAGTATGCGGGATCCCGGTATCCCGGTATTGAATTCACTATTCAGAAGCATTTACATAATTTTTGGAGGCAAGCTGTCTTTTATAATCGCTGCCAAAACCAGCGGCGGATACAGGCCTTTTGAAAAGGGGGGGGGGGCAGTTTAAGTTAAAGTAAGCCAGATTGGGTTAGTTTGGGTTAGTTTTGGCAGCGCATTGTGCAAGATACGGTTTTTCGAAGGAATGGCCCATAAAAATATGGGAATGGGGGAACTATTTAGGAGAATAAGGTGATTTTAAATAGGGTACAGGTACAGGGTGTTTTTTTATATAAGTTGTACAGTTTTGGCTGAATTTTTAGAAACCATGGTCAGAAACAAAATTTGAATGTTAGAAATGTGAAATTTTGTATGCTTCCAGCTTTTTTCAAATGGGATGCCCTTCATTCTATATTCTTGAAGAGCACAATGCCCCGATTCCAAAAATATATAATTTGTCTATATTTGATTGAACAGTCTCTCATATATTCGGCTCCAAAAATTGTAAAAATACTATCCTACTACTGATTTTGTGAACCATTCTACCTATACCGGTGAAAACTGCAGGTAAAATTTAAGGTGTGTACTTGGTTTCTCTGATAGTATTTTTGAAATTTTAAGAACCAAATATGTTGGAGACGGGTCAACCAAATATATACAAACTATAAAGTTTTGGAATCGTGAAACTGTGCTCTTCAAAAATATAGAACCAAATATAGGGCATCCCATTTAAAAAAAGCTGAAAACATGCAACATTTCACATTTCTGACATTCAATTTTTGTTTCTGACCATGGATTCTAAAAATTTAGCCAATACTGTACAACTTTTGTATTTATACCTTTCATCTACTTTTAAAGGTGAAGGCTGTAGGTGGGGTATCAATATATAAAAAAAAACACCCTGTACTTGAACAATAACTTATTATATAAAGTCAGAATTTGTAAGATTATCCACTTTTTGTCAATTTGCCTTTCAACAGGAATTAGTAATGTTACTTTACTAAACTAGTAATATATTGTGATAAGTTATTCAAGTACAAACGAGTGGATTGTTGCGGAACTTATGGGTGGACCTCTGCGAGACGAGCGCAGCGAGTTTCGCAGCCATCTATTCATCAATATGTTGTTTAATTACGATACTTAACTGACTCACTCAAATATGCGTTATTCTCATTAGTTTAAAAATTACACGTTTCAGGTGAATGTCTTACTTGAACAGTTCAACAGTATATTGGTGATTAGATGACTGACAGCCATCTATTCATCAATATGTTTTTTAAAATGTCTGTTATTCTCATTAGTTTCCCAGAAATCCAAGTGAATTCGAGGAGATTCAAAAAATTCGGAAGGTATCTGAGAAGATCCAGGAAAGAATTTGGAATACTTGTTGAAGATATGTATATGTTACCGGCAAAGCCCGTTATGCAGTCATACCTAGGTTTGCCTAGGCAAAGTCCGCATTGCCGGTCCACTTTAGGCAAAGTCAGAAATAAGTCGATATTACCGACATTGCCTACACTGTTGTAGGACAATCTTAGGTTTACCAAATATTTGTAGCAGGCTATTATTATATTGGGGTATAATCAGAGACAATCTTAAAATCACAGTAGACCCTTATAAAATACACTTGGTATTGTTTATTATTAAAAAAATAGGTATTCGCAAAAAAAAACACATTCAAAAAACCAACCAAAAAGATATTGAGGTAGAATCAAATCAAAGAGGTCTCTTTGGGTAGAATTGGGGCCCCTGCATGATACACTTTTTACAGAGTACATATTACACAGGGACCATTATAAAATACATAACAATTTTAATCTTTTACATTTACAAGAGTTAGTGGTGCATTTTTCGGTACAGTTACATCTTTGAAACACTTGCTCTCCAAATGTAGAACTGTGTCCACTAATTTCGCGAAGTGATAGTTCTATTCTCGGGATATCTTCGATTTTAAAAAATTATTTCTTGCAACTTTGGATTTGGTTTCTTACATATAGAGAACTGATTACACCATGATTTTATAAAAACCATCTGCAGTTTGTTCCATAACAACTCCTAGTATATTACGGGCATCTCCTTAGCATCTGTCTAAATTCGAAACTGGCACTGTGACTGATTTCCCTACCTGAATTTTCGGAAACTTTTTCTGCGATAGCTGCTTCATCTTCTCTGCTTAAACTCTCAATCCTTCGTAGGCAACTTCCTTGTTTATAGTTGCAGTAAATGTCTGCGCACATCGGAGGCATAGAATTGATCGATACTCCAAAACCCTCTTCGTCATCGTTGGTACTGGTACCACTGTTACTTTGAGCGCAAATCAAATGAAAAATTTCACCACAGTTTCTGCACTTGTGAGGACCTGAAGTTTCCTTAAAGCAAATAGCACATGAGATTTATGTAGTGCTTGAAAGTGGTTTTGAATTGTCGTTTTTAGAATCGGACTTTTCCTGCTCCAGATTATTCGTTGCTCCACTTCTATTAGAATTAATTAAGTAGCAAGCGCTTCTTCCAATTCCTCTTCAGTTTTCAGCACCTTTTTCATCAGGTATAGTCTGAATACCAATATGAGCTTTTCTTCCTAAAAATAACGAAATCGATTATTTACTTCTATAACTGACAGTCCCGACAGAAACCAAATCAACGCAGAATCGCAGACCCTCCCTCCAACGCTTGGTTTTATTATCTTCCATCCAGGCAATCAATATGTTTTCAACATCCTGGTTAGACTGCTCTACACTTCCCTGACTTTGGAAATGAAGTGGTTTCCGTGGACTATACTCAGTTGTGGCCACATCACTTTCAGCTCTTCAACAATGCGATTTTGCAAATTTATGTCCGTTAAACAATAAGCGACCTCATCTGCTCTTCTCGTTCGTAGTGGCCGTAAAACTAGATATTTCGAAAGATCATCCTGGTAATTGAGGATATATTTGAAATCATTATCAGGGTAAGTCTGCATATCGATAAGATCGACTTGTCCGCTCGCTTTTGGATGCTTTTTCTTCTTGTGACAGGCTTCACATAGCTCTAAGTAACGTGTAATGCATTCTCGAATTACGTTAGCATATTTGTTGCTTGGTATTTTATTCATTATAGCATGACCACATTTCGTGTGAGCATTGTCTAGCACCTCAAAAAATTCTTCACTGGGGACAAAGTATTTCACTCCAGTGACTTGCGCAGATAATGGCAAAATTAACTTTTTAATCCCCCAACAAGTAACACATCGTAACGTTCAAGAGGTCGGTATTGAAGAGTTGTTTTTTTGTCAACTTGCTTGGCTTTTTCAACTTCTTTAATTAATGCCCCGTACTTCTCTATCGATGGAATGTAAAAAGAATTTATTGGTTTCTGCATACTTTCCAATTTCTCCAAAAATCTCGCCTTCATTTCATCCGCGCCACTCATAGTTACTGGGATAAGCCTTCTTGGTCACAAATCCAATAGCGATTGAACCCAACTGAACACACCGTCCTCCTAATATCAACTTACTTCGGAGTTTGCCTGCTACACATCTAGCAAACCTAAGATTGTCGTACCACAGTGTAGGCAATGTTCGAAATATCGAATAATTTCGGACTTTGCCTAAAGTGGCTTGGCAATGCGGACTTTGCCTAGGCCTATGACTGCATAACGGACTTTACCGGTAACATATATACCAAGAGCAGAAAATTTGGAGATATCCGAAGATATTAAAGATTTCAGGAAATCTCAAGAGATTCAAGTAAATCTAGAAGATTGTTTATAGTGCTCCAAAGGAAGAATATCTGAAGATATCTGGAGAAGCTCCAGAACGACATACGACTGAGGCGCTCCTAGAAGATTAAAGAGATATCTGAGGAGATTCAGAAGATTTTGAAATAATTTTTGAAGAAATTTTGTATGCTAGGAATATATTTTAGGATATCAATTAAAGATATAATGGAGATTCTTAAGTAAATTTGTGGAGATCCAAGGAGATTCAGAAATTTCGACATTTTGCTATAGGAATGTTCAATGAAGATGATCATAAAGAAGCAATCATTACCTAATAAGTGCTGTAAATTATATAAATTATGAAAAAATCCAAGAGATATAAATCCTGACATTCAACAGGCCATGATTCAGGTATTGTTTATCTATTACTGGCTATTGAATTTCCTATATTCAAATTAAAAAAAAAAAAACAGAAATTCAAGAGCTTGGAATAGACAGAAAATTGAGAAATAAAGAGAGCAGATTTGGGAATACTTGAGAAAACATTGGTGAATAGAATTATTCTTTTTCCATTATTGGCTCTTGAATTTTTTCTGTCTAGAGAAATTTCTATGAAAACAAAAGTTTAAATGCTTGAAATGGATAAAAATTGAGAAATCGAAAGAGGAAATTCAAGAATAAGATAATATTGACGAGAAAAATGGTTCTTCTGAATTTTCTCTATTTGGAGAAGTTTGAAGAAAAAAGAAATTCAAAAGCCTGGAATAGACAAACATTGGAACTGATGAATCCAAAAATGAGGAGAGAAAAAAAAAACAGATAAAGTATTTCAGTTATTCTAGCGTTGCTGATTATACTGATTTTCGGAAAAACAAGGTGATTAACTTGCGGAAAACAAAGAGTTATTAAAGCATTTTTGTGAGTCAATATTTTTCTTTCTATATCTCTACATACATATCAAGCTTCGAAGTGGAGGAGATGGAGGCCGTTGTACACTGTTTTAAACGCCCTACGGGCGAAGATTCGAAGTGGAGAAGACAGGGGCCGACCGCAGACACAGACTACCGCCTGAAAATCCAAGGTATATTAGGGAACAGGACTCTTGTAGGTTAGGAAGGAAATTGGAGTGCACAATAAGCTAACAGTGCATGGAAGGCCACAGCGCCTAGATACAACCAAGCGAGACACCAAAGTCGTGTGAAGAAAATCTTTCTGGATACTTTTGATTCCGATCTTCCCATGGAAAATGTAAATATGTACTTGAATTAGAATTGGTAAAATCACAAAGGTGTCAAGTGAATTTGAAATTGTCCTAAAATTTAACTACTCGATTGCGCTGGATGAAACCATTTCATCTACGATAGTAATAGGGAACTTTAATAATAATAACCTATCACACTGAAAATTACCCACAGGAAAAATCTATCAGATTTAACTAGATATTAAGCACTTTAACGAACATGTTATAATTTGAGGTTTAGGCGACATAGGAAATGAAAGCTATATTTAGTCAAGCATTATAAGCTTCTATTGTTTCATACAGTTTTGATATGATAATTTATATACATTTGTTTTAATTTTCTATATCTATGGCTTTTGAAACATTCAAAGTTTCCCTTACAAATATACCGATTCATTCAACTAAAATAAAAATTAATCATATATATTCTTGCACCAACAAACACAACCCCGATATCGTCGATGCGTGAACGTGGAAAATCAAATAACCGAGATGTATGTATCCGTTCATTAATTTTGCCAGTAATTGCATTTGAAATGCGAAACCCCATTTTGGCATTTTGGACCTACTAATTTCAGATTGTACTGGGAATTCGTGTCATTATTAATTAGTTAAAGTTGGCTGGTAAATATTGCTATAGCTGCTACGCTGTGATGCGGCAATTGTTTCGTTTATTGAATTCCATATTTTCGAGCTTTAAATTTTAATTAAACCTTAATTAATAATTAAAATTTATGAAATGTTACAATACAATTCCTTGCTTTGTCGTAAATGGCAAAATATTATAAATAAAATATTGTAGGTGATGATTGCACTTCATATTTAATTCGAGGAAATATAGTCCTAATGTCATTATCAACTGTATCGAAATTTCATAGAAATACATACATATAATTTGTTCGCGTGTATTAATTTAACCTTAATTAATACTTGTCAGTATATAGTTGATGAATTATGATATTCTAAGAATCATTTATCAATATCAATAACCAATTTATTGTCAAATGTTTCAATTAATAAGTTCCGGGTAGTCTCCAAGGCACATTAAACATAGATTTTACAGAGAAGTTTGTATTACCTTAATACATTTCTACATTTGATGAGTTTTTCAAACAATTATTTCTTTATCATAATGCACTAGTATTTAGGCCTTATTTCTTAAATTAAAAATATATTTATTTAATATTCTATAATTAAAGTTTCATTGTCAATAGGTACCTACCTACAAAACATCATAGAATTTATTATCTGTATAGGTATTGTATTAACCTACTTCGAGAAACGTCTATTATATCGATATCGAATCGAAAAAACATTAAAGATAGTTAAAAGTCTCCAACTATAAACGTTAATATTCGATGTCTTTTTAAATAATTAAACACCGTTAAATTACACAGCTCATCCCCAACTACTAGTAAAAGGGGCGAAAGTATTTATGCCATTTCATTGGCGGAGACTCAAGAGAAAAACAATGTTTTTTTTCATGGTAGCCCAAGAAATTTATACCTGAGCCGCAAAAAATTTTGCGAGTGCAGGCTGATTTTTCCAGGGCTGATTGGGGAGTGTGTCCTGAGTATTGAGCCAAAAAATCATACTCGAAAGCCTTGTGCGTTCGACCCTATTGGCCTTTTTCTTATTTATTTATTTTTCGACCAAATCACCTTTACAAAACTTGTAGATAATTACATTCTGATCAACTTTGCCTAATGACTTTTTTTGCTAACTATTTTACTTTAGGCGCTGTGCCTGCAGATTATTATACCTAATAAAATTATCTATTACTTTGCTTGATGATATTTTATTAGTAGGTACATTAGCAGTAATTTTATTAAAGTTACAATAATCTGCAGGTTTGCTATTCAATTTTTTTGCGAAATCTGGAGCACTAAAATGGCCGCAACGCCTAAACTAAAATAGCTAGCAAAAAAAGGCATAAGGCAAAATTGATCAGAATGTAATTATCTACAAGTTTTGTAGAGGTCATTTTGTCGAAAAAAAATAAATAAGAAAAAGGCCAATAGGGTCGAACGCACAAGGCTTTCGAGTGTGATTTTTTGGCTCAATACTCAGGACACAGTCTCCAATCAGCCCTGAAAAAATCAGCCTGCCCTCGCAAAATTTTTTGAAAAACCCATAAATTTCTTGGGCTATGGAACTAAACCCAAAAATGTTTTCGAAATCATTATTCAAGCATATAAAAGCACTCTTTCAGTTTTTATTGGTCAAACCATGTCAAGGGTAACTTTTTATCCAATCAAAACTTGTCGGATTGAAATAGAACAAACTTTATTATCCACGAAAAGTTCTACGCCACTGGCACCATTTCTGAAATCTAATTGTCTTTTACTGATGGTGGTGGGGAGGGTCAACTTTGGAAAAATATCCAGACAATTCTGATTGGTCCACGACATGGATATCGGGTCTCTAGAATAGGCGATTTGGATTAGTCGATGTCAAGTTCAGTGAAAGTCGAGCACCTGGATCATGGTGTTGGCGTGGCGGTAAACAAAGACTGTGATAATATAATATAGTGAAAGAGGTACACGGCGACTATTTGTGATATGATAATAATTTTAATTGAGGAAGTTGTTTGGAAATAAAAAGGCTTTCAAGGTAAGATTTGATGGAAGATGGATACTCATGGATTTCCACTTGAATCAATGATTCAAAGTAAATTATTCAATGGTCATATGATCTACATCATAACATCCAATACCATTGATATTATTTGATACACATTTGCACTTATTTCGTATCCTGCCACCCTGTAAAGAAATAGTTTGCATTTTGCTTTTTCGTGGTTATTTATTATGTAACTCCTCCAAATGCGCGTTGATTTCCTGACTGCATCCATTTTTTTTTCTCATGTTGCTTTCAATCATATTCTAACTATCTGCTCTATGAAGCAGAGTCCTGGAATCAGTAACGAGGAAAGAGACATGCCACACATAGCGTGATTCAACTTGCTTAAACCACAAGACTTAGCTTAGCTTGTTCAGATCACAAGAAATTGACATTGATCCTGAAAACTTGAACAGCTTTTATTGCACTGTCGCTGCAGCCGTTAACTCGGATGATCAATCAAGTTAATTTGGAAATACTTACACGTCAATGAATGTTTTTTTATTATTGCCCACGAATATCCATGAAGTGAGATCCATTCTTGAGTCCATTGGACATCAGACCACAGCTGGTTCAAATCCATGAAAATCTTGAGGGAACTTCTGGACCATGCCCTTGGTGTTCTATCGGAAGCAATCGACCTGTCCTTTTCGTCAGGCACTTTTCCACCAAGTCTCAAAGATTCATTGGTAGTACCGATACATAAGGGCAAGGATACATATTATCGTCTGATATTGCTGTCAACAATATCCAAAGTTATAGAAAAACTTCTTAAAAAACGTATGATTGACATCCATCAAAACATAAACTTTTTAACTCTGCCCAATTTGGATTTCTTCCTAAGAAGGGTACCCATGATGCCATGTTTCGCGTGCTAGAACAACTTCTTGAGCAGTACAACAATGGTTTTGCTACCGCGGGGGTATTCTGTGACTTCTCAAGGGCCTCAGAATATTGCTGAGGAAGTTGGAGGTCCACAACTTTCGGGGTGTGAGCTTAAAGTAGTTCGAATCATATCTTTCACATCTTAGTCAGCGTGTCATTCTCTGGATGGAAAATATTCTTCTGATCAACCAATCGTCCATGGTGTTTCACTGGCACCAATATTATTCCTCCTATATCATCAATGATCTTTTGTATCTTGATATAATAGGAGTCTTCGCTGCATTTGCGGATGATTCAACGACTGTTTGGCCGAATGAGGTAATCCAGGTAATTTCTGATGACATCACATCAGGGCCATGAAGTATTGGTGAGATACAAACAAACTGCTTTTTAACTTGATAATGCAATGTTGATGACATTGATTGTGATCAGTTCTCCATCAAACGCTCTCTAAATACCAAATTCCTTGGACTTGACGCTGATCTCAAATTTCAGTCACATATCACTGCACTTAACAAGAAACCTGCTCCTAGTTGCTAGTGTGTCCGAGCTGTCGTCACAAATTTGGATGCAACCATATCAAAATCCAGTATATTTTGCATCAATACAATCTCATCTTTCCTATGGACTACGTGTTTGGGGCTGTTGTAGCCAATACCTGTATCAATCAGTATTTAAACTTCAGTGCGCTTTATCGCTAATGCAATGAATATAGTATTATCTTAACATTGCCTTGTCTTTTCATCCTTGAATCTGCTAGTTTCTTACATAAGCACACATTCTCGTTCCCTGTACACCAAACTGCCTTTTCCATAAGACAGAAGCACGATATACAGCTTCCCATTCCGCACTCTACTCTTGTGAAGAATTCAAACATCTACAAAAGCCTGAAATATCTCAGATATTTCAAGGATTCGTAGTCATTTGAAGAGCATTTTACTTCAACATGACCTTTACACACTTGAAATTTTTTTAAATGTCTTCACATAAGATTACAACCTTCCTGCTTCTCTTACAGCTGCTGTACTGTATTCACCGGAATTAATTAACTTTGACCGCAAATTGCATTAGTGAAAGTTTATTGTCTTTTTTCATTTTATTTAAATATTAAAGATTTTTTGCGGTTTGTTATGTTTTAACTTGTCGTTGTATTTATGCTAATTTTAAATCTGCCTGTCATTTGCTTGTTTTTTAATACTTTTTACTAATTTATTAATAATTGTTGGGCTTACAATGTTATAATGTTCATTTATTTTACTGAGTCAAGTTTAATATATAGAAATCTCGGTAGAAATGCTTTGTCAATGTTTTTTTTTTAATTCTTTGACAATAAAGCATGTTTTGAATTAGATTGAATTGAATAAAAGGAGGGAAGATCCAAAAAATCGGAACCAGAGCAACAAAAAGCAAAACAGAAATAATCAGGCATACCTATTATCTATTCACAATCCGATGTCCAAAGGTAAAGGTAAAATTTATCACCTTTCAGTGATATTTGATAGGGAAAGGTGATAAATTTACCTTTACCTGGCGCTGGAAAGGGGGCAATGCCCATTTCTGGAAATTTTACCCCCACTCCAAAATGGTCGGAAAAGTTGCAATTTGGAAGGACTCGTTTTCTTATGGAGATTTACATGGGGGCTTGCGCTTGAATTGTCCTACACCCTTTACTGATACAAAAAGTCCTTTGTTTTCATCCATATGCATAAGTCGACACTCCCAGACTATTCGTTAATGAATATTCGGATATAGTTTGTTCAATTATCACGGTAGAAGGATGCGTTTTACCTTTATCTCACATAACGTCATTCACCTTACCGATACTAGAAAGAGATTCAAGATTGAACAGACATTTCCACTTCCTCTTTTACGGGCAAAATTTATCTTTAAAGCGTCTAGACTTGCTCAGGTTGTTTTCTGTGGCATCGTGTAAAGAGAATTAGAGAACATTTAGCCAACTGTATGGCATATTTGGTCGCATATATGAACTAATTCTTGGATTTTCCTGAATGTGATATAGCAGTTGGTTGGCAGACAACTACGAAGAAATTGAGAAAGACAGCAGATAAAAAAAAGAATTATCATCAGTATCCAAGTACAACTAAAACAGGAGACAAAGAAATATATAGAAAAGCACAAGCAATCTGGAAAGCAAAAGACACGAAGAAAATTGAAGAATATTAGAAAAACATAAGAACGACAAAACCAAAGATATTATATCCACAATAACGTCCCAGCAATGCCAAGATTCTGAAAAATTTCTGATAGAACAATGGGCAGAGATTAAAGAAAAAAGGGAACAGACACAAAACATAAAATCCACAAGACCACCAACAAGAGTGATAAAGGAAGAAGTAAAAAAATAGTATGGCTTCTTGGAAAAGGGAAGAGCGCAAGGACCAGGAGAAGTATACAGAGAAATTATAAAGAATGGAAAAAATGAACATTACAAACACCTAACAAGTGGAAGATAAGCTACTACCATGAATAAGAAAGTAGACAGAAAGAAATACGAAAACCACTGAAGCATTGGAGTGATAAATACCTACATTAGGCTAGGAAATTAGAAAACGACTACGAAGATCATGGTAACAGTATACCACTTATTTAGTTTCACCCTGATGTGAAAAATCCATAGAATTGGAGTCGATAAAGAAATATGAGACAGATACCTGGAAAAGGTGTGTTCGCTTGACAAACATGGTTGGAGCTCGGGAATCCGAAGACATAGAACGTTATAGACCAATAATTATGTATCTATTTAAATCGATGTGAGGAAAACCACCTATTTAAAATATTATTTCTTCAAATCTTAACTTTTTAAAAAAACGTTTACTGAATAAAAGTAAATGTTGCAACCTTGTCTGCGCCATCAAATTTAGGGGTGACCGCGTTCGAGCACAAGGAACGGTACTGCGAACGGGAGATAGAAAAGATGCAACTAGACTTGAGAACAAGCTGGGGCTGTTCCTTTAGACGCGTTTCTATAATTATTCATTATTCAATTTTCATTTCTATTTTGCATTAAAATTGATTTGTTCAATCCAATTTGTTATTAGGGTGTGTGTAAGGAGCGTTCACAGGTTAGTGGATTAAATATTATTTTGTTTTTGAGAGTTCAATTTATGCAAGTTATTATTATTTTGTTCATATGTATTTTTTTGTTTGTTTATAACATTTTTTATAACATGCGCATTGTTCATGTTTTTAACAAAAATCGTTTCATACTGTAAACAACACAGATAAAGAAGTAAATTAAAACCTAAGAAATTATGTGCTCTCTTTTTATGCTGAGATTTCGATTTTGTGGATTTAGAGCGTGTATTAGGGCCTTGTTTACATTTTCCTACCCTGACGAGAGAATATGCTAACAAATTGAAATAAGAGATATTGGCTCAATAACAACTATAGCTGAGTAGCTTCCCGTATGGGGCCTCAGTACCTGCTGGGAAACTGGCTAACTAACCAAAAACTCTTCAGTATTAAATATAGGTAATGTTGATTGAATGTAGTGTGTGTTATTGAAATTTTAGCACAAGAACAGGGGCGGTACCTAGTTTCAACGTCTATTGAATTATTGACTCACAATTATTATTCAAATGACACAGTATGTATCGATTTTTGAGGAATGTTAGATCGAGGGTTTCTCTGCCGTGCTCTTTCCCCTCGTTAGTTCCAGGATGAGAACGGAACGTTTTTCTTTTGATAATAAAGAAGACGTTTCACCAATTTTTCGTTTCTTTTACAATATTACAGCTTCCCTTATATTTCCCAAATATGTGCTATGTCAGGCGAACGTCCAGTGAGTAAAATTGAGTAAGTTTCCACAACGTAGGTCCTATTTGTTTTTCATTTCGTTTTTCAGATTTGTTTTTTCAAGGTAATAGAAATCCTCATCGTTCAATCTTACTGAACGAACCCGGGTATGTTATACTACAGATGTCTATTCCATAATTCATTATTTTCCAGTTTTTTGGTGGGACTGGAATATAAACTTTGAGTGTGTCTTGACCTATTATTAGTTTTAATTTTGAGTGCCGGAGGGAACTTAGAAAATGGTAGGGGTTTTTATCATCACATTACTTCGAGTTATTTCTCAGGGCAAACTGATTAGATGACTATTTGATAATTTGAGTATATTATTTGATCATGAACTCACCAACCCGCCTGAGAATCGTGGTGCTTTAAGTGCCATTACCCTCCCTGTACATACCATGGCAAATTTCAAAACAGAAGGAAATGGTCCCAAGGTATCAAAATCCAAAAACCATAAAGACACACGAGAAAATCACAAAACTTATTGAACAATAAGATCGCAAGATCCATAAAAAATGATGAAAAGATTATTAAACTGGAGGAAGAGCTGACAAAAATAAAGTGGGACATCGTAGTCTTGTCAGAAACACGGAGAAAATAAGAACATCGAATGAAATTGAACTCCGGTAACTTACTATACTAAATACTAAATGTAACGAAGATAGTAACTTTGGAGTAGGATTTATCATAAATTAAGCCATAAGTAAATACGTCCAACCTATCAAAATGAGAAGAACATCATTGAAAGTTATTCAAGTATACGCCCTTACTTTAACCTACGATAACGAAAGTATTGAACTGTTCTACGCAGATATGTCAAACGCTATGGAAGAACATACAACTCGCCTGCTAGTAATCGGAGATACCAATGGCCAAACTTGGTAGAAAACTGAACAAGAGGAGACCGAAATGGGGGACTTTGGAAACGTCTAGAGGAATATTAGATGACTACATACAAAAAAAACACCTATATATGCAATGAACTCGTTTTACAAAAGGAAGCTACAACGAAAGTGGACGTGGATCAGCCCTAATAAAACAATGGAAAACGAAATTAACCATATAATAACGACTGAAAAATATATCATATTAAGGATGTAACAGTCTTGAACAGATAACAGATTCACCACAGACAGCAATCATATGCTGGACGAAACAAAGATATGTATCGATAGCAGTTTTAAAATGAAAAAAAAAAAGAATAATGGAAACAACTGAACGTGACGAAACTCGCACAAAATAAAACTGAATGCAAAGAGAGAGTGAAAGAACAACTAACCCAAAACGTGGACGGCGATCATGGAAATACAAATGAAATAAATGATACATTAACAGAAACCATGATTAAAGTACTACGAAAATAAATAAAAAGAAGGGAAATTACATCTTGGTAGGCGGAGCTTGATCGAAGAAGGTAAAAGAATTGCCTGACAGAAATCTTGAGTTCGTTTCGTTTATTGCAAAAATCAAAGTCGAATTAACACAGCAATAATTTATTCCACGTAACACTACACTCTGACACTAATTACTTTAATAACTAACTCAACAATTAAACTCTTTACAACTCGCAACAATAATCACTATTTAACTCGTATCACAGTCAAACTTTAACTTAAAAACTACAAAGCAATAGCGGCCTTTATATATCCCTGAATCTTTTCCTGTAAAATCTAGAATACACACGATAAATCTAATTTTCCTGATTAAAGTAGAATAATTTGCTAGATTCTAGGATATTCGACAGCGAATGCCTAAGATTCTTGACAGACTGGCGGACGCCACAATAGAAAAAGTTATAGGAAACAACAGAACTATTGGACACTAGGTAGATATGAAAATAAAAAAAATAAAAGACATATGACATGAACGGAGTGAAAACCAATATTTTAAAGAGGATATCATAAATATTACACAGCTATTCTATACAGAACTATCCAAGCAAAGAAGGAATCATAAGACAACTTCAAACTAAAATAAAGAACGTAAACTCAGAACTCCAACCTGAAATAAGCAAATCCGAAATAAAGTGAGCATTGGAAAAAACGAAAAATAACAGAGTACTTGAAAAAAAACGAAATAACGGCAGAAATGTTGAAATACGGTGGAAAACAAGTAAAGGTGCTAGGACAGTTCAGCAGCAAACCCCATGTAAATCTCCATAAGAAAACGCTAAGGTCCAAATTGCGGCTATTTCAACCATTTCCAGGTAGCCCCACCCACTATAACGCTATCTCTAAAACATCTCAACAACACCTCAAAAACAACTCCAAGACAACAACAACATCTCCAAGACATCTCAACAACACCTCAAAGACAACTCCAAGACATCTCAACAACATCTCCAAGACAACAACAACATCTCCAACACATCTCAACAACACCTCAAAGACATCGCAACATTACCTCAAAGACAACTCCAATACATCTCAAAGACAACTTCAAGACATCTAAACAACAACAACACCAATAATTTTCTCGCTAAGCTGCAAAATTTCTTTAACTTGCTCACCTACACCAACCATTGTTGTTGTTGTTGTTGAGATGTCTTGAAGATGTCTTTGAGTTGTCTTTGAAGTGTTGTTGAGATGTCTTGGAGACGTTGTTGTTGTCTTGGAGATGTTGTTGTTGTCTTGGAGATGTTGTTGAGATGTCTTGGAGTTGTCTTTGAGGTGTTGTTGAGATGTCCTGCAGATGTTGTTGTTGTCTTGGAGTTGTCTCACAGATGTTGTTGAGATCTCTTGGAGTTGTCTTTGAGGTGTTGTTGAGATGTTTTGGAGATAGCGGGATAGTGGTTGGGGCTACCTGGAAATGGCCGAAAAAGCCGCAATTTGGACCTTAGCGTTTTCTTATGGAGATTTACATGGGGTTTGCTGTTTAACTGTCCTAGCACCTTTACTAAAACAGTTTTAAATACTCTCCATACTCTCTTAGATAAAATACTCAATGAGATAATAATCCCAAACAACTGGAATGAATACATAACCATTATTCTACATAAGAACGGTAAAATAGATAGAACAGACCTGAAAAACTATCGACCTATAACACACATTAATGTAATTTATATACTCTTAACCAAAATTCTAACCATAAGGTTAACAGCAAAATTCGACGAATGCCAATCAAAAAAACAGGCCGGCTTCAGGAAAGGTTCCAGTACGAGCGACCATCTATTAACCATGAAAATCCTAATAAAATCAGACGAGTATCACATCCCACCATATATTGCGTTTATCGACTTCGAAAAGGCTTTTGATAGTGTTGAACACTGGGCAGTAAAAACCTCTTTAATCAATAGCAGAATAGACTACAGATACACAGACCTAATAACAAACATAGCGAAGCAACAACAACAATTAAAATATATCCACGAGGGAACAAGACTAATTTACATAAGAAGAGGTGTGAGACAGGGCAACATAATATCACCTAAACTTTTTAACCAGACCCTGGAGGATGTTTTAAAAGAATTAAAGTGGAAAAGAAAATGTATAAAAATAGATGGACAACACTTGAACAACCCAAGATATGCGGATGACATCGCCATAATAACAAATAAGAAAAAAGAACTGACAGAGATGTTGGAAGAACAACGTAGGAACTAAAAATATATGATGAAGACATCACAATCAGAATGGGTCAAATAGCAATAGAACAAGTCACTGAATATATAAATCTGGTACAGATTATTAAACTCAACAAAGAAAACTAAACAGCAGAAATCGAAAGAGGAAACAGATTGGCTTGGGAAGCATTCGGCAAATTGAGTTACATACTTAAAAATAGAAAATAACCACAATACCTCAAAACCCGAGTATATAATCAATGTGTACTACCTGTCCTCTTCTATGAAACGCAAACATGTACATTCACACAGTCAATATGGACAAAATAATAAAAATACAAAGGTCAATGGAAAGACAAATATCACTTGTAAAACTGATAGAAAGACAGCATGAATAGGTGAAAAACCAATGTCTTATAAACTGGAGACCTTGGGAAAATGAAAGAATAGGAAGACTTCAAATAAGATGGACGGGTGACCTGAAGAAGCATCGAACAAGATGGATGAACATGGCGACAAAAAGAAAAAAGTGGAAAAGACTGGAGGAGGCCTATGTCCAAAGATGAAAAGCGCTAAATAGATAGATAGATTTGATCATAAATTATATTTGAATAGTGGCGATACTCTATCAAAAACTATGACTCTTTTGGAATTTCTTTACAATTGTCCGAATTTTCCACTCTTTACAGAATACTTGATGCATAGTATTCTGTAGTATGACAGCGTCCTATTAATGCGTATCATATCTTAAAACTCTTTTATAAATCTATATTATTACATTTTTCTTGTTCTAGATGATGAACAAATTCAAAGTAACCGGCCTTGTGGCCGACCTGATGCCCAACATCAGGCTCATTCAGGCTTCAGGACATTTCATGTTTAACTATCACGCTGACGATTCTGGATCAGTGTATTTTCTAAGGCTGGCCTACTCTTGCATGCATCTATTTTTCGTTTTAATTCAATTTGGGTAAAAATTTTAACTTCATACTAATGTGTAATTTTAATTTCCATTTTATTTTTAGCGCAATATTTGGTAATTTAGTAGTTGAAAAAGATAATGTAAATGATCTGGCTGCTAATACAATAACTATATTATTTTTCACACATTGCCTGACTAAATTCGTTTATTTTGCTTTAAGGTCGAAATTATTTTATAGGTGAGTTGTAAAAATACATAAACAATTTTATAATAATTACTGGTTTTATAGAACTTTAGGCATATGGAACCAAGCAAACAGCCATCCCATTTTTGTAGAGTCAAACAACAGATATCATGCCATAGCTTTGAAAGGAATGAGAAATCTTTTATATATTATTATGATTGGGACAATATTTTCAGCTACAGGTACTACAATTATTTATTCTGTATTTTTATCACTTTGAATTTTTTTTTTATAGCATGGACTGGGATAACTTTCGTTGGAGACAGCGTTCACTACATTAAAGATCCAGATAATGAAAATGAAACCATGTCCGAAGAAATTCCCAGATTACTAGTAAAATCTTGGTATCCTTTCAACGTCATGTCTGGAATGCCTTATTACATTGCATTGATATTTCAAATATACTACGTACTTTTCTCACTACTTCATGCCAACCTTTTGGATAGTTTATTCTGTTCATGGCTGATATTTGCTTGTGAACAATTGCAGCACTTAAAAGAAATTATGAAACCTTTAATGGAGTTATCGGCTTCGTTGGATACGTATGTTCCAAAGAGTGCTGATTTGTTTAAAGCACCTGGAAGTGCCTCGTCACAAGACAATCTTATAGAAAACGGTAGTAGTTTGCGATGCAAAATAAATTCACCTAATATTTATATTTGAATTTAGATTTCAACAATATCAAAAACGAAGAGCTTAACCTTAAAGGAGTTTACAGTACAAGACAAGAGCTTGGAAGTTTGAATTTTAGAAGTGGTGCCTTGCAGACTTTCGGCCAAGGCGGTGGTGGAGTGGGGCCGAATGGTTTGACTAAAAAACAAGAAGTCATGGTAAGGTCTGCTATTAAATACTGGGTCGAGAGGCATAAGCATGTCGTAAGGTAGGCAATATGTAGGTATTTCTTCGGAAGACTTTGAAATTCTTTGTTTAGATTGGTGACAGCTATTGGGGATGCTTACGGTGTAGCGCTTCTACTACACATGTTGACTGCTACGATTATGTTGACCCTTTTGGCATATGAAGCTACCAAAGTAAATTATTTGAAAATATTGCTTGCTGTGCAAATTACCGTACTTACTTTTTCCTTAGATTGATGGTATCAACACCTATGCTGCTACAACTATAGGATATTTGGTCTACTCTTTGGCCCAGGTATTCCATTTTTGTATTTTCGGTAACAGGCTTATTGAAGAGGTATTAAGCTCAAGTTTAAAATTGAATTTCTTAACTAAATATATTTTGGTATCCTAGAGTTCTTCTGTCATGGAGGCAGCGTACAGTTGTCACTGGTACGATGGTTCAGAAGAAGCCAAAACTTTCGTCCAGATCGTGTGTCAGCAATGCCAAAAAGCTCTGTCGATTTCTGGTGCTAAGTTTTTCACTATTTCTTTGGATCTTTTTGCTTCGGTAAATTATTTAATTTTTGAATATATCAAGTCCCATTTTGTTCTTCATTTTTAGGTTCTTGGTGCTGTAGTAACCTACTTCATGGTGTTGGTACAACTCAAATAAATGATATTTATGTTTCTATTATAATTAGCCCAAGAAATTTATGGGTTTTTCAAAAAAAATTGCGAGGACCGGCTGATTCTTTCAGGACTGATTGGAGACTGTGTCCTGAGTATTGAGCCAAAAAATCACACTCGAAAGCCCTGTGCGTTCGGCCCTATTGGCCTTTTTTTTATTAATTTTTTTTCGACAAAATGACCTCAACAAAACTTGTAGATAATAATATTCTGATCAACTTTGCCTCATGCCTTTTTTTGGTAGCTATTTTAGTTTAGGCGTTGCGGCCATTTTAGTGCTCCAGAATTCGCAAAAAATTAAGTAGCAAACCTGCAGATTATTGTAACTTTAATAAAATTACTGGTAATGTACTCCATTACGTTTTCGGTTTCAGTCCAAGAAATGATACATTACATCACTAATCCAGTGAAATTATTTTCCCGGAGTGAAAGCGTGATATCGAAATGATGTCTTTTTTGACAATACTGGGACCTGTTACCTGTTTGAAAAGTGACAAAATGTTTTTTTTTCTACAATGGGCCTAGAAAGTAGACTTTGACGATTAGATTTGTGCTCGCAAAGTAGACGTTTCCTGATGACCTCCACTTTGCCGCTTTAGAGCGTCAAACTACGTCAAAATCCTTCACTTCGTCGCTCTAGAGCGGCAAAGTAGTAAAAGCGCATGCTTTTACTACTGGTTTCTTTGAACCTGAACTATTTTTTATCAAATGCGATTGTAAAAAAAATCAAGTGTGCATTTGCCAATATCAACATTATTTTTCGATCGGCAAAGTACCACTTTGCGCTCTTAATACACAAATAGCTATAAATTCAATTTTGCGAAACGCCACATTTTACCTGCAAAATGTGTCAAATCCGCTATGCATGCCACAATGTCCACCAGGTCAAATAAAATTTTTCAAATGCCTAAAAGGCCGTACAAGCGAAAGAAATAAAGTTACAATAAAATATCATCAAGCAAAGTAATAGAGAATTTTATTAGGTATAATAATCTGCAGGTTTGCTATTTATTTTTTTTGCGAATTCTGGAGCACTAAAATGGCCGCAACGCCCAAACTAAAATAGCTAGCAAAAAAAGGCATAAGGCAAAATTGATCAGAATGTTATTATCTACAAGTTTTGTTGAGGTCATTTTGTCGAAAAAAAATAAATAAGAAAAAGGCCAATAGGGCCGAACGCACAAGGCTTTCGAGTATGATTTTTTGGCTCAATACTCAGGACACAGTCTCCAATTAGCCCTGAAAAAATCAGCCTGCCCTCGCAAATTTTTTTGCGGTCCAGGTATAAATTTCTTGGTCTAAATAGAGTACAATGCAAGTTCAGGTGGTAACATTAATGAAATTTCTAGTCGCACTGTAAAAACAGCTACAAATAAGGATTATTTGCAAATATTTTTAATGTTGTTACAACATTAACTTTTCTTGTTTATTTAAAAGTCTCTGTTTAATGCACAAAAATCGTTAGTTTTGGTTAGTTTGTAACAAATATTATTTATTGTTGTTACAGATTTTATTGTATAGAAATATATCTACAGGGTGGCTCAAGTTAAACCTCTATTTTAGTAATAATTTTAAAAGATACACTATAAACATTTCACAACGTTTTTTACAGCATTACCTCTGTGGTTGTGCCATAGTAATTTATATTTTCAGAACATTTTTATGATAGTCATGTAATGACATAATTTGTCATAGTTTTATAAAACACATATAATATAAGCAGTCAGGCATTCAAAGTGTCTTACTTTTTTAGACTTGTAAGTTTTTATGCTAAGAAGCTTTATGAGATCATATACAACTTTTTTATTAGGTGGTATCTCAGAAAACGAGGTGTTTATTGATTTTTTTGTCGTACCAGTTCATTAATGCACAATAGTCAAATAGGTACCTTATTGTTGTACCAGCAAAATTATCAATCTATGGGCGAATGAAAATAATTTGAAGAAATAAGAACACTGATAAGACAGAAAACGTTGAAAACACCACCGGCAATATGAACTTTCATTTTGTCCAAGAAAAACCAACTATTAAACACACTCCGCTCTATGAGATTTCGCCTTCAGTACAAATATAGACCAAATATTCGGAGTTAAATTATGGTTATGATATTTTATTGTTAGAAATGCTGGAAGGAAGGGTCCAAAAGTATATTTGTGAATTACGTTAACTTATAGTTTTGTTCTTAGTTTATGTATAAGAATAATTATTATGTGAAATAAATAATTAATAAATGAAGCTGTTTTCTTTTGATTTGATTGAAACGTTCTATTTTAGGGTCTGTGCCGTCGGCTTTTGAGATTACGCTGCGCTCTGCTCATGCTTTAACATCTTTTTTCTCTCTCATTTCCTCTCCTACCCGCGCCGTGTCTCAGTGCTGCCTGTCTGCCGCCACGCTCTCCCACCACGACAACTCGACTACAGCACAGCAGGCAGCAGTCCTACTCAGTACGCTTTGACTTTGCTTTGCGATAACATAAACTTTCAACGGTGTTGTACCGTTCGACGTAATTGGTTGAAGTGAATAATTTTTGGACAAAGTAAACAATATTTGGTTAAAATGAATAATATTTAAAGTGAATAATATTTATTTTCAATGGTAAGTTTTGATTATGTTTAATATTATTTCTTTAGCAGCCTCATGGCTCGACTGTGGCAGCCTTACGGCTCGATTCTAGCAGCCTTTCGGCAAGAATTAAGCAGCCTCTCGGCTCGATTTAAGCAGCATCTCGGCTCGATTTATCAGCCTTACGGCTCGATTTTAGCGGCCTTGCGGCTCGTTTTTAGCGGCCTCACGGCACGATTTTAACATCCTTCTGGCTCGATTTTAGCAACCTAATGGCTCGATTATAGAGTCTTACGGCTCGATTTTAGCAGCCTTACGGCTCGATTTTAGCAGCCTTACGGCTCGATTTTAGCAGCCTTACGGCTCGATTTTAGCGCCCGTGCGGCTCGATCTTAGTAGCCAGTCGGCTTGATACGAGGAGCCGGGCGGCTCGATTTAAGCAGCCTTACGGCTCGATTTTAACAGCCTTGGCTTGATTTTAGAGCCAGACTGCTCGATTTGAGGAGCCGGACGGCTCGTTTATGGGAGTCGAACAGGTAGATATTAAGAGCCCGACGGCTCGATTTACGAGCGTCACGGCTTGATTTTAAAGGGCCTTAGAATTTGAAGTTATTTTATTCTTCACTGCGCCTCTAAGAAGGGCCAACACATTTCCTTTTGTTCTAGATGCTGTCTCAGGTTAGCACGAGACGACTCGCAGAGCTTGCGGACATTCCGACCCCTGATCCTACAGACCAGCTAATTCTCGATAGGCTGATTCAAATGGCTAGAGACTATATCCCGGAGGGTTGGCAAGAGTGGAAAATAGCGATTTTCGATAAAGAAGAGTTGTTAGGAAAATACTTGGATCCTCAGATCCTAAACAAGCTTAGGTTTGCTTTGCCCACTGTTAGCCTGGCCCAAGCTTTCGATCCTGAGGCAACAACGCTTCCAGAAAAAGTGTACAAGGTCTTGAAAATTAGAATGCTCTCATGGCTTTTCTGCGTCGGGCTTATCATAGGTCCTCCGGCTGTGGCGACAAGAGTTAGAGCGTCAGCAGTCCAGAATGAACTGGTAGTGGCCTCCTTAAGTGAAATCAGACCGCTTCTGATTTCTAGAAAAGAAGCTTGTCATCAGCTGTCTATAGGCTCGTCGGGTGAGGAAACGTCACACCCAGTAGAGCTTCCAAGAAAAAAGAAACCCGGTGGGACAAGCTAGAGAGAAGTAACTTGGAGATACGGGGTATGTTGACGTCGCTGTTGGATCGAATAGGTCCACAGGCTAGGAATTTAAATGAAGAGTTGACGGAAGAATAAGAAGATATTGAAGAGAATTTTTCGGATGAAGAGCCATTGCATGATAAGATTACCGAAAATGCGTCAGATGCTCAGTCCAGTTGGAAGGCCCCTAGCTTGTTTCTTGAACAATCATTACAGGAGGTGGAAGACATTGACTTTGCTCCCAGGACTCAAGAATAGCAGCCTTTGATTGCGCCACCTAAGCCACACATAGAGTAGCAGGGCATGGATTGTCAGAGGCTTAATTTATCATCATTTAACAAGATCAGATATCTAGAATCTCAAAAGAAACTCCAGGCAACGCCAGTGTTCAATGCTTTGGTAGTTAATGTTCAGTTGGAGCGCATAAACCCGTTATTTAAATCTTCAGACAATCTTATTAGAATGGACACTTCCCTCGCTTGTATTTCACATAGTCTCCTCCTCCAGCGCGAAGCTTTCCGTACTGCATTAAGCAATGTAACATGAAAACATCTTTCCCTCAAGAGTGACATACAGGAGATCATGCTAAGCCCAGATTCTGAATTCAGAGCTATTTCGGACGATCTGCTGCAGTACACCTGTGGCCGTAGGGCAGAAGTAATCGAGCAGAGGAGAAAATGCTTCAAACCGAACAGTGCAGTAGTTTCCACGCTCCTTCAGAATATCCCACCCTCGGGCACCCACCTTATTTCAAGAAGAGCCGCTGGACGAGTTGGTGAAACAACACGGGTATGCGTTTCGTGGCAAATCTAAGTTCAAGGACCGTCCAAAGACATTTCATAGGAAAGAGTATAAACCAGCGGGCGAACATAGCAGTTCTTCTAATGCCAGACGATCTTCCTCAAAAGGACATCATCAAGAAAGACCATTCTCACGACCAGGCTTACCGAAAGAACCAAAGAAAAGAAATTATTCCACGGCATTCAGCTGGTCATTTCGAGGAAGTTCCTCTTCGCAGCGAGTTAAGAAGCAATGACGTGCTGCCTCAGACTTTCAAAGGGGGAAGGCTTCAATGCTTTGTGAAAAGATGGGAGGAAGCAGGTGTCCCACCAAACATTTTAAAATCAATAAGGGGTTACTCTCTGCCTTTCGTAAAAATTCCTCCGTCAACCTTTTTCTCCAAGGAAATCTTGACTCGTTTTTCTACACCGGAGATAAAGCAAGAGTTCGAAACGCTTTTAGCGCAGGGCGTAGTAGAGGAATCCATGTTCCTGTCAAAGATGTTTTTAATCCCAAAATAAGATGGCAAAAGGCGGACCATTTTCAATCTGCGAGCCCTGAATCAGTTTCTTTGCCCAAAGTAGTTTCGACTGATGAATCATCTAAAATTCCCCAACTTTTTGTAAGAGGGAGACTTTCTAGTCAAACTGGACATAACACAGGCATATTATCATATTCCAATAAAAACCCATCACAGACGTTTTCTATCCCTGGTTTATCAAGGCAAAGTTTTCCAGATGACTTGCCACCCCTTCGGGTTGTCAACGGCCCCACTTGCCTTTGCAAGGATTTCGAACTGGATAGCAAGTCAGCTAAGAGACAGAGGATTGAGGATAATAGTCTACTTGGACGATTTTCTATTAGCACATCAGGATCCTCGCTGTCTTCACATCTATCATTGACGATTCAGTTCCTGGAGGAGTTAGGCTGGATAATAAACAAAGAAAAGTCTTGTAACGTTTTCAATTTCTTGGCTAATAAGCTACCTTGTTTTGCTTTAGTAGATATGATTCCATATAGAACTAGAATGAAATAAATGAATAAACGACTATCTTTTCTGTGCCCAGATTTTGTTAACTTGAGTACTGCCTTCTACTGAAAGTTTTTTTGGTGCAGGTTTGCAACTTTGGTTGATTGATCTAGGAAGGTTTGATTCAGTACGGCAGGGCCCGCTGTTATTGATTAGAATCTTATATAAAGGAGAGATTTTTTTATCATCTGTGTTTGCAAATCCAATTAATAAATAATCTGAGGTTATGATAATAATTGTTGTTGACTCTTTGATTTTTCATTTCCATCATGTCATTGAACAGCTGTTTTGTCTAGGCGTTTTCGTTAGACCTGTTCTACTTTTTGATATATGTTCTATAGGCATTTTTCAACATTCACCAGTCATTTTTACACAACCGAACTTCCAGTTCGTATTCTTGGGGTGAAACTGAACACGCTTTTTTCTATAATTTTCTTCATTGTCAAAATTAGAAGTTTGGCAGATGAAAGACTTCTTCCGAAATCTAAATGAAGAATCTGCCTTTTGATCTGCGACCTCACGCTGAGTAGTCGTCCGGTCTCGGGCCTCGGCCCTGAATTATTTTTTTGGGGCGAGACTTTTTGGAATTTTGTGCCAGGGAGCTCAATTTTTAGACTAATTTCTTATTGATAATTGTCTAGAGTCGTCCCTTGGTCATTTTGGATTCTGTTTCGGACTGTTCCGAGCAGCATTTGGAAGTTTAAGACTTCACCTTTGGCTTAAAGCATCCCTCACTCAGAGGGTCCTACTCCTAGGCTATGGCTAGACAATCTTAGGCTATTGTTAGACAATCCTAGTGCTAGGCTGTAGCTAGACAGTCTTAGGCTATAGTTGGACAGTTGCTAGGCTGTATTTAGAGAGATTCTAGACCGATCTAGATTGCTCTCAGTTGGGGCTTTGGTAGCCTTTCTTCAGCAACTCTCTTGGTATCGCTCTGCTAGAACAACATTGGGTTCTACGTTAAACAGATACAACGTGGATAGGACTCATGACTCACTTACCATACCATTGTCTATCTACAGTGAGACCAAACATGTAGATAACCTCACTTTTGGAACTTCTGGATTTACAAATACATTTAAAGATAACAAACAGTTGTATCACATGTGAGTTACACCTTTTACTATTTAGGCAAATCCTATGTAAATCACTTGATACTGAATTACGTTTAGTAAGTGCCCCTTAATTAAAATTCTAGAATTTTACCCTGAGGTTGCCCTAACAATAAGTTTCACCTTTCTGGTGTTGAATTTGCCTCTTGGTAGAGTGTAACTGATATTGTGGTTCTAATCTTTCACAAGTGTAAACAGACAGTTAAAACTGTTTATTTAAAAATCAATATTTTTATACATTATTTACATTATTATTTTTTTTATATAATCAAATATTTATAAATTGGTACAAGCCATAATGTATACACATTTTTAACAACGTCCTGGTTATCCCTATCCATTATTGTTATTATTTTTTAATAAAGAAGCCAGATACAATATTGTACCTAATTAGTTGTTTTATTGATAAGCTCTCCAATTGCACAGGTTTTGTTTATAACATCATTAAGTTATCTTCCTAGTTAAGTCACAATTAACTTGGTGGCGCCCAGGGATAAGATGTATACAAGGAACCCATAGACCCATGGCCTCCGAACTGAAGCTGACTAGCCGTAGCAGTATAATTAGGTAATTGCCAAAATAAGTACGTTATAGTCTTTATGCCTTCCTCAGAACAAGATAGAGTTTCTAGGAATTTTGTGGGGCACGATAGAAAATACCATTTCTCTTCCAAACAAGAAAAAGGTCTCTATAAAAAGAGATCTGACCAACATAGTAAGAACGTGAACACTTAGGTTGGATCAAACCAAGTGAATAAAAAAAAAAAATTCAAAGTTCTCAAATAATAAAAGGAAAATTTAAATTGAATCAAATAATCCAATTCTAATTAGGAAAATCTTCAATATTAAAAGAGAAGTTCTGCTACCTAAGGATGAAAAGTACATTATACTCTACACGCACCAACCGCAAGACAAAGATGAAGCAGTGAATAAACAGGACATGGAACTTACTATTTAATAACTGTCCCCTGTAATACTCCTCGAGATTCATGCCTCACAAGGCTCTGATTAGCAGATTTTCCCAGGCCCCTTGCAAAAGGGCAATCGATATTTCACACAGAGACCAACCTGTGGCTCCATCTGCTTCCTCGCTCGTGAAATGCTCATTTCAGCCCCAAAACACATTCACAAGCAATATTTTCTAACCTTTATTCTAAATAATTATAAAATTAATTAACAAGGACCTCATGAAAAATCACTCGAGTGTTGTGACATGGTTATTTAGTGGATTTTAAGTTGAGTTTCAGTGATAACCTTTCAAGATTTATAGGGATTTATTGACAATATCTAGTTTTAAGTGTTCTAAATAGAGTTGATACGAAATCAATTTTTTCTTGTCTCTTTTTTGCTCAAAAACGTCGCGAGATCTGATAGCTTTAAATTTCGACAAATAATACAGAATTTCGATAATAATAGTGATATCTGTTGATTCTTAGTGAAATAATTTTCGCGTTACTGGTGGTTGTGATTTACAGGCAATACAAATTTCAAATAACTGATTGAGCAAAGAACTGTGTTATTCTACAAGCCATAAGGAAAAGGAGTTTTTGGAAAAGTTCAAATAAAGGTAAGCCAAAATATACCTAAACAATAACTCTCCAATTTGTAACATTTATGCATAAAATATTTATTTGGTGATTACTAGCAATGTTTTATTATCTTGAAATGTTGCATTTTACAAAGCGATTAAGGAAACGAGTTTTACAAAAAAAAAAACAAGTCGCTGGAAAATGTCTCCGAACAAAGCTATTTTGAAAAATTTTATAGGCCATTATGCTCCCTTAAGGAATAAATCTAGGGGATTAAGATCTGGTGACCTGGTAGGCTGACAAATCGGTTATTCCTGCCAATCTATTCTCTCCCAGCCTATATTTATTTCAATTTTAATAGCTTGCAGGAAGCAATGATTAAAATACACTGGTGTTCTGATAATAATCTACAAATTCATTTTTACAATGATAAACTGATAGATAATAATTTTACAATTGATGAATATATTTATCATGGACTATCGTAATTGATTATTTAAATGTATGCAAATTCGAAAAATGGGGCAATACAAATCTGTTTACCCTCTTAGCTAATCGAAATTACGTATCTAATCTTCCAATTTTTAAGTTAGAAACTCTGAAAACAACAGAAACCAAGTGCTATTGTTGATGATAAAAAATTATTTTTCTTATACTTTCTAGATAAAATGCTGACAACAACATCTTATAATCTAATAAAAAGGACTTTTCAAACCTCTCAAGTGTTACGGAAAGTTTTCAAATAAATTGACGCAAACTTTAAAAATTGCGCAGATAAACTTAGGAATTAGCTCGCCTAAAAAGCAGGTTTCACTTCAACTTTCTTTAAATTACATTTTTATCGAAATTTAAGAAATGAATTTTATATAAAAACATTATTCATACACAAAGTAAATTTTGATTTAATCAAAAAACTACTAATAGCACAATAAATCATTCCAATGTTCTCAGGAAACCCTATAATAAACTCCCCAGAGATACCTCTAGACTAGAATTTAACTCCGGCTTTGGGTAACTTATTTATAGTTAGCGTGCCTCCAACCAATTTAAATCATGACAGGTGAATCCGCTCTAATGGCGTTTGAGGTGTCGAATGGTAACCACATATAGTTTACTGCAGGCCATTATTATCAGATAAGAGGATTGCATGATAATTAATGATCAGTTAAGTTCAATGCACAATATAATTATTTGGTGCATTTGCTGCATGATAAAGCAAGGAACTTTCTCAAGGTCGATACAAATTGAACTTTGCTTAAAAGAAGGAAAATCAGTAGATAGCCAAGGAGTAATATAAAGGAGCTAATAATTGAAAGAAGAAGGAATTACAGAATAGACACATGCAGGAAATGTTAGACATGGAAGTCGCAAAAATAGATGAGGAGGAAGAAGCAGCTGGGAGTTTTGAGTCAATAGAACTTGAGTCAGACAAAAATCACGGACCTAATATAAACCAATGGATTGCCGGACAGGACCCAAGGTCAGATTGCTCCTCAAATTTAAGTTCAAAACCTAAAATCCCCACAAACAAGTCATATTTTCCATCTTCCTGTAATTTTGAACAAAGAGGAGACATGGTGAGTCAACCTTTTGCTACTTTTTCAGAGTTTGAGAACGACAAAATTAATGAGAATATACCAAACAATTCTTGTGTTTTACCTACCTCACAACTAACAAGAATTTTAACTCGTCAATCGATGCCAAAAGACTTATCCTTTTTTTTCCGGAAATCCACTTGAATGGTCAAGTTTTATTTTTCAATATCAAAATTCTACGGCTATCTGTGGATACTCACCGGAAGAAAATTTATGCCGTCTACAGAAATGCCTTAAAGGAAATGTTAAGAAAATTGTAGAAAGTCTTTTGATCTTATCAAAAAATGTTGATAGGATAATAAAAATGTTACAAAATAGATTTGGACTTTCAGAACACATAATTTCGTTATTGCTAGACAAAATTAAAAGCTTTCTAGTGATAAAAGGAGAAAAGATAGACATCTTTATTGATTTTTCGGACGAAGTTCAAAATATAGTAGGTACTATTGAATCTTTAAATGAAGAAGATCACCTACGTAATCCAATCCTACTTTAGGAACTCCTGAATAAATTTCCAACAACTTACAAATTAATGTGGATAAAGTGTAATACAACTTAAACCTAGTATAACATAAATAGGCCCGCTTTCCTTGTGTGTCTTTTCTGGGGAAAATTACAATAACGGTCCAGCATTTGCTGCTCGGGATTAGGGAAAACCCAGAAAAACCTAATCAAACCATTTAACTTATTTACTAAGCCTAATTCCATTCTAATTTCTCAAATTTCACTGGCATCAATGGTTTGGTAAACATGTCTGCTAGTGGTTTATCTGTGGACAAATTAATATTTTATATTAATTACGATCAATTCAATATGATTTGATCTTTTGTGATTTGTTGGATTATTTGTAATACTTATTGAGGTCCATTGTTGTCCTCCTAGGTCATAATTGACTCTGATATTAATGTTTATGCATATTTTCTGCTAATGATTTTAACCAAAGAGCCTCTTCAAAAAGAAAAACCATATATTCGGCTTTAGTAGATGATGCCGTTACTGACAACTGCCTTTTTGTATTCCAACATATCACAGAAATTTCAAACAGTTTAAATAAATATCCTGTTGTGCTTTTATATTGTTTATATTATCATCTCCACCATCCTAGTCAAGATTAATAGAATCACTCAAGAAATTGATACATTCACAAGTAAAATATTGTATCAACTTCACATTGATTTTACCCTTAAGATATCTAACGACCCTTTTCAAATATTGCTAAAGCTCTTTATTATTTTTGTTTTAATACCTGCTCAAAATATTAACAGCGGTACTTAAATCAGGCTTGATATACATAACATAATATACATTATACAGATTACGGCAAGGGCTATCATGCTTTTCTTCTGAATTTAAACTCAAATTCAGTTTACTAGGAAGTGGAGTGCTGACACAGCTGATGGCACAACAGTCATTCATATTAAATGTATGTAAAATAGTTTTCATGTAGGTACATTTGAACTGTACCTATATGAAAGTTGAACAAGAGTTATTTTATTTTTGATTACCTTTCAATTTTATTACCCAAAAATAGTTTACCGTCTTTCAAATAAAACAGAACAGTTATTTGCCAAATACCTTTTGAAACTATTCAATGTATTATTATCTGCAGTGGCAAATACCATCTACAGAACTACATAAATAATTTTACATATTGCACCTTTGTCTAAGATATAAATACAGTGGTTAAGTGATGAATTTTCAAACCCATTTTCTTTATGAACTTTTATTATTATTTCAAACTAACATTTAGTGGTTTGTTTTAGTTCATAGATACAAAGCCTTGCAAACTTGGTTAGGAGGTTTACTTGTCACACCTTGAGCCAGCCAGCCTTCAGCCTTCAGGAATCTTCATAAAAATGGCTTCCTTCAATGTCCCATCCGGGAAAGCTGTTTTTTACATCCATATGATGTATTAAAAGGGTAAACTGATTAAAAAGGTTATTTAAGGTTAAACCAGAAACCTACGATTCTCGCCACCTGTGCAAAGGTTTCATTATAATCTACCAAGTAATGTTGACTAAAACCACGAACAACTAAGTGAGCTTTGTATCTAAATGGTTTTCTAATTTCATCATTGTCAATGGAAAATATCCATTCATAATCCACTATATTTTTATATTCGGGTCTTGATACTAAGGACCACGTTTTATTTACCAATAATGAGTGAATATCCATTTGGCAGATCTGTTTTAATCACAGATTTACTATACTCATTATTTAGTTTAATGAGTTTATTAGGGTTAACATTTACCTACGTTCCTGGATTGTTACTCATCTGATTTAGCTATATCAGATTTATTAACCACCGATCTTGACAAACTATCAGTGTCAGGGGAAAGGTTTTATTATAGACTATCCAAGATGCTGTCGAACTCAAATTAAAATGTCCGCCAAGAAGCACACAAACCCTTTGTTTGCTTGTCAAAGTCACGTGTTTTGGATAGGCTAATTACCAAAGTGTTACATTCATTTTTGACACTTTTTCAGTTCAGTTCAGTTCAGTTTATTAATAACTACTGATCTTGACAAACAATCAGAGGAAACAGCTTTATCATCAAAGTGTTTTACATTCACTTTTTCATAATCACTATTAACTACTAATATTGAGTTGCTCGAAACCCTGATTGAAAATCACTGAATAGTTTATTTCTATATACCTATAAACTCAACAAGTTGCATATGCACCATTTTTTCCAAAATTTTGTCAATAGTGCAAAACAAATTTATTGGATGCAAGTCACTACAGGATTTTAATTTAACTACTTTGGGAATCGTGATTATAGTGGAAACTGAATGAATATCATTTGGCAGATCTGTTTTAACCACAGATTTACTATAATCATTCATTTGATAAGTTTGTGGGTTAACAGTTAGCTACTTTTTTATATTTCTAAATATATAGGTATATACAATTCTTTTACTCAGGAAAAGTAAATTATAACAATTACATTGTTTTATTCTATTAATATCAACATTGGTAGTTGAATACTAATTAAACAATAACTGTCATTTTTTGTTATAAGGTTTTAATCAATCATATAAAATATAAATTGGAATCTTTCTAATGAAACTGTTCTTTTGGGTACTTATTGATTATTCGATTTCAGTTAACCTACTCATTAAAATTTATACAGAATTAGCTATTGAGCCTTACTAGGGATATTTTTCGAGATTCACGTGACCTGCTTCTCTACTTTTGAGTGTCCAAAGGGGTCCAAGTCAAAGGTCACTGGCGCCCTTTTTGAGATCAGATTATCGAATACTTGACTAGTGTTCATGACCGCACGACCACTCTCCGCGAGCAGCTAGCCCAACACTCCCCTTTTACCAGCTTCCCTTTAGTTCATGTCCTTTTAGTTTTTAGTATTTTAGGGGTAGATTCATCCCCTAACGAGCCGTTTCAAAATATGTAACACGATAGTGAGTAAATTCATGCACAAACA